TCTGTGAGACGTGTGAAAACACGGGGCACTAATCCAGTTTCTGTTTGGGTTTTGTATGGATTAACCAGCAGATTTGCCCCCGTGTGATAACGTCCTATGAAAGCTCATGCTACTCACTCCCAATGAGTTTCAGACCAATGGCCCAAAGCCTATTGTTAGTTCCAACAAAGCCATTGGATCCATTGGCTTTACCTATGTGTTGGTCATCATTCAACAATTGATTGAATAGCTCTACTCTAGAGGAGGAAGGAACCAGTGTGGTATAGTGGTTTGAGCATTGGATTAGCAGTCTGCAAGGCAAGAAATTGAATCCCTGTTGAGCCATGGATGCCCAGTGGGTAACCTAGGACAAGACACACTCTCTCAGCTTCTAAAGAAGGCAATGGCAACCCCCCTCTTACAAATCTTGCCAAGAACCCCACATGATAGGTTCATCTAAGGGTCACCATAAGTCAGAAATGATTTGAAAGCATGCAACAACAGCAGTAGCAGCAGCATCAACAACTCCTCTACTTGGGATTAATCAAAAGGATTTCAGTGAATATCTTTTCCTGCTTTCTATTTGAAGGTGAAATTCAAAGCAGCAGACAAAATTCAACATTAAAAAATCAGTCAAAAGCACAACCTGTTTGCCCAGACTTGGGATTATAAGTGATGGGAATGCAGGGTGGGGAGAGGAAGGTCATATTATTTAACTAATGAGTTGTTTCAGTTTTCCCTCCACTTTTTCACTGGCATCCATCTCTGCATAAAGATTTCTTTGTTCAGGAAGAAAATGAGGTCACCCTATGGGATGGGATTTGTGAGAAAGGGCATTTAATGCCAGGAGTTAATGTGGCAATGAAGGCAGGTAGGGTTGCTGAGCATGAAAGAGGACTGCCCTCCGAGAGCCCTACAAGTTTAAACAAATTACTCGAAGGTTAAACTGGAGAGGGCATTCTTTGATCCAGATGAAGAACCGTGAGCTAGCTGTGTTCACACTGTTTGGGGGTATTAGAAAGCCCTTTCATGCAAAATGCCTTGCCAAATAAAAAAAAATTATACTAAATTGAAATGTGTTGACAGAAGAAATCTTGGACCTTTCATAAGAAAGAGCTACCCCCTTGACTCACCTTGCCCCATCAGAGTTTTTTTGACAAGTGACCTTAAAACATTGTAATATATATATAGGCCTGTATTCTCTATCAGGGAGCTAGCGCGGTGTAGTGGTTTGAACATTGGACTGGGACTCTGGAGACCAGGATTTGCTTCCCTGATCAGCCATGGAAGCCCACTTGGGCAAGTCACAGTCTCTCGGCCTCATAGGAAAGCAAAGGTAAAGCCTCTCTGAACAAATCTTTCCAAGAAAAGCCATTATAGGTTCATGTTGTTGTTATTGTTGTTGGTGTGTGCCTTCAAGTCATTTCCAATTTATGGTGATCCTAAAGCATATCATGGGGATTTCTTGGCCAGGTTTGTTCATAGGAGATTGGCCATTGCTTTCCTCTGAGGCTGAGAGAGTGTAGCTTGCCCAAGGTCACCCAGTGCGTTTCATGGCCAAGCTGTGATTCAAACCCTGGTCTCCAGAGTCATAGGACATTATCACATGGGGAGTCGCGGGGAGAAAGTGGAAATAAATGGGCACAAGCGGAAGTCTTTAATTTACGGGATTTGTCCCGTTCCGCCTCGTCTGATAACTAAATTCGAATTTAAAAGGGGGTTAATTCGAACACAAACCTGATCTTTTTATTTTCGGGATTTTTGAGGATTTGAAAAGATCAGGTTTTTGTTCGAATTAACCCCCTTTTAAATTCGAATTTAGTTATCAGACAAGGCGGAACGGGACAAATCCCATAAATTAAAGTCTTCCACTCATCCGGTTTATTTCCACTTTCTCCCTGCAACTCCCCGTGTGATAACGTCCATACTCTAGCACTCAAGCTACTACACAGTGCTGGCTCCAGATTCACTTTAGGGCCACCATAAGTTGGAAAACACTTGAAGGCACACAACAACAACAGCTCTCTATCATCTACTTAGTTTAGTATACTTAAAAGTTACTTCCCCTGCCCCCATAAACCTAACAGCAATGTCATTCACCTATGCTCTGATCAGTGGTAGAATTGACCTCCTTCTCCCCATTTAGCTGATGTCTAGTAAAGTAGGTGAAGGGAGTTATGATCATGGCAATAGTCACAATCATGACTTAGCAATCATTAATACAGAACACTTACCTTGATTTACTCATCTGTAACATTTTTATATTCAAGATTGCTACTTGTCACCATCTGGGTAAAATTCAGAGACATAGCCATCTTTGTCTGGAATATCAGTATGCAAAGGGAACTTGTAGTATCTTTGAGATTAACTGTGTAGGAAGCTTTTGAAGATTTGGTCTACTGGTCTACTAAAGCTGTAGTTCTTTCACATAGTTCTCAAAGGTGCTACAAAATCATCCCTTTGTATACTGATATTGCTACCATCGTAATAGCAATAGCAGGAAGTAGTGGCCAAAAAAGTTACTATTCCAAGTTCTGATCCTGTCAAGCATTACTGTTTCTTCTGTCCCTTTCAGGTATCATTTCTTCCTTGGTTGGTGTTTGTTTTCTACCTTACTGAATTAATCATAGGGATAGTCTTACACAATCATGAATACACAGTGACCTAAATTCTGTCGTTAGTCCTGACTAGAGTAAACTCATTGGATCAAGGGAATTTACCTATGATTGACTTACCATTGAATGGGTCAGTTGGAAGTAACCAACAAGATGAACCATTGTAGAGTAGTGGTTTGAGCATTGGACTATCTGGAGACTAACAGATTCAGTTCCCAGCTCAGCCATGTAAACCCATTAGGTGACTTTGGGCAAGTCACACTTTCTCAGCCTCAGGCAATGGCAACTCCTTATAGGGTATGGGAAATGCACATGGGCTTCATTTTTGGCAGCAGAATATCTTGGCCTGACATCAAGAAGCTGTTAGGGACAGCCTAGAACCTTCCAATCTAGTCCAGCACGCTGTTTGCTTCACTGCCCTGGTTCTCTTACCCTCTGCCATGTCTGTAGGACTTGGCACTCCTTAGAGATATTTTTTTTTAAAAAAATCCTTGATTGAAAATTTTCTGCTGAGCTGCAATATTTTTAGATTAACTGAAGGCAATTTATGCAAGGTTTGACTTGGAAATAGGTCAACTGCAATCAAGACTTGTGAGAAGATTTTTGCCCCCTTCCCTTCATACTGAGATGAACATTCCCATCAGATCAGCCACCCTCTATAGGAATCGGGCAAGAGCCTCACCCTTTCCCAAGGATTGGTACATCAAGTCCCTGGAGGGGACTTGGACAAGACTCGACAAACCCAGTCTCCCCCTACTTCAGACCTTGAGGGCCAAAAATGAGGAAAAGACTGATTTCCAAGGTGGCTGGGACCAGTAAGCAGTTTCCTAGATCTAATTAATGATCCTGATTAAAATGGGAAGGTTCTACATGTCCTAAGTGTGTGCTCTTCATGTGCCAATCAAGGAGGGTGTGGTAGACAGGTATCTGAAGCATGGTATGTTTAGTTTTTGTGGGTTTTTCGGGCTGTGTGGCCATGTTCTAGAAGAGTTTCTTTCTGACGTTTCGCCAGCATCTGTGGCTAGCATCTTCAGAGAAAACTGAATTGGAGGATCATGGGTCTATATGCCGGCCATGAAAGCCTACGACTTCACATGGTATGTTTCTTTTGACACAAGTCAGAAATAAAGGACAACAACTCTGGAAATCAGGGTTTGATTCCCCACTCGGCCATGAAACCCACTGCGTGACCTTGGGCAAGTCCCATGCTCTCAGCCTCAGGGAGAGGCAATCGAAAACCTCCTTTGAATAAATCTTGCAAAGAAAACTCCATGATAGCTTTGCCTTAGGGTTGCCATAAGTCCGAAATGACTTGAAGGTCCAACAACAACAAATCTATCTGTCTATGCATGCAGGGTTACTATCATAGAATTTGCAAAATCTCTCCCTGTGTCTTGACATAGGCTGCCTTTACACTGTAGAAATAATGCAGTTTGGCACCACTTTAACTGCCATGGCTCCATCCAACAGGATCCTGGGATTTGTAGCCTTGTGAGGTGCCAGCACTCTTTGGCAGAGAAGGCTAAAGACCTTGTAAAATTACAGATCCAAGGATTCCATGGGATGAAGCTACAGCACTTAAAGTGGTGTCAAACTGCATTGTTTCTACAGTGTAGATGTACCCATGGCTGCAGGTGCTGCCTGAAATGAACGGAGAACACCATCCTGAGTGGTTTGATACATAATCAGGCCAATATGGTATGGTTGACATTGGAATCACAAATATAGCAAAACTAGGAACGGAAGACCATGAAAAGTTTCTGGTAAAGTTTTATCATTTTAAACTCTAAAGTAAATGGCCTTATAATAGGAGTGGGGTAAGTGTTGACTGTGGGATGCATGCATACCCTCCAGCATTGCGCACATGAGAAGCTGGACACATACAGCTAAACAACAGCAAGTGTGGTCAAGATGGCAACAGTTATTATTGAGGAAGAATATGTAAACTAGGAGACGCTCTTGCAGTTTACTTTTTTCTGAGCCTAATGGGAAGGGCAAGATTCCTCCCTTCCTCTTGTCTCCTGTCTACTAAGTTAAATGCAAACTAATTTTGCACTTTGAACTCAATCTGAGGACCAAGAGGAAAGTGGGAGGAGGATGTTTTAAAAGCAACTGGAAAAGTGGGCTGGCAGGGGATTAATTGGGAGTATTCCTGCCAACTTGGGACAGTTAGTCTGGATTTCTCAACCATATTTTGCATCCAAGTTCTCAGTCATCCATTTTAAATTTTTCTTTCAATTCAGATTTTGACTGACAGCCTCATAATTACCTCCCATCTACCTAAGCTGCTCATAAATGTGGCAGTTCACCCTCTCTCTCCTCCACAATCCACCAGACCCCAGAAAACCCTTGAATTTTGTTCACAGACTGGCCAAGCTAGCCATTGAATCAGTTGGGTTTGCCAGAGACCCAGTGTGGCATAGTGGTTTGAGCATTGGACTATGATTCTGGAGACCAGGGTTTGAATCCTTGTTGAGGCATGAAACCTCCTGGGTGACCTTGGGCAAGTCACACTCTCTCTGCCTCAGAGGATAGCAATGGCAGCCCTCCACTGAAGATATTTGTCAAGAAAACCCCATGATAGGTTTCCCTTAGGGTTGTCATAAGTCAGAAATGACTTGAAGGCACACAACAACAACAATAAACATATTGACTCATCATTCAATAACTGATTGAATGGGTCTGCTCTAGTTGGTACTAACCCAAAGCCATGCAACTGTGCATCCTTGGATAGTGCATAACTATTTGTCAGTGCCTGATTCAATAGGGTTGCAGAAACATCCTCTGTGTATTCCCCAGGAGACCAATGGGACAATAGGCAGACTCATAGGCAGATACACTGGCCCATATGCTCTAACAGCCACTTAGGGCCTTTGCAGACTGCTAGAAATAGTGCAAATTGAGTCCACTTTAACTGCTCTGGCTCAGTGCTAGGGAATCATGGGAATTGGTTTTTTTTTTTCTGAGACATTGAGCCTTCTCTGTCAGAGAGCTCTGGTGCCACAATAAACTACAGTTCCCATGATTCCTTAGCACTTGGCCTCAGTTTGCACTATTTCTGGCAGTCTGTTAGTTAAGAACTGATTGTGAATGCAGAACAGTTAATTATATGCACTCATGCATAACTGATCACAGTTGCTACTTAGTCACAATTTTGACACTACACATCGCGTCTCCCTTATCTGAAATGTTTGGGATGGAAGTTTTTTGGATTATTTCAGATTTTGGAATATTTGCATATACGTAATGAGATAGATATCCTGGAGAAGGGACCCAAGTCTAAACACGAAATTCATTTATATTTCATTTACACCTTATACACATAGCTTGAAGGTAATTTTATACATAATATTTTAAAAATCATTTTATGCATGGAACAAAGTTTGTGTACCCCGAACCATCAGAAAGCAAAGGTGCCAGTTACCCATGTGGACAATTCTGGATTTTGGAGAAGTTTGGATTTTGGAATTCCGGAAAAGGGATACATGTATTGCCATGATTTAAGCTCCCCTCCCAACCAGTCTTACCAGCATCAGCTCCTTGGAAAGAAGGAGATCCATTTTGCCAGTAACTGGAACATGGATTAGGTTTGTGTGTGTGTGTAGTTAAAGATACTTAATCTTTGCTGGAAGTAAAAACCTCAAGGAATTATGTCCAGGCCATTAGTTCCCTCTTGTTAAAGTTTGCCCTGTTGTGGCAAATTTGGTATTTTTCAAATCTAGGAAACACGTTTAGGGGTAGCTCTTTTGGCCATGGAGCAGAATACTATATAACAAAATGCAAAATCCACAAAACAGCAATACCGTTATTGACCAGTCAAAATGCACACATGCTGTAAGATCTCAGCTAATGTCTTTAGTGTCAGGACAGAAAGAATGAAGGAGAAAGTGGATACATTTCCCATTCCTACCTATTAACCCCTTAGATGAGAAAAATTATTTGAAAATCCCAGGTTGGTACAAACTAATTTCATGTTGGTGATCCCCATGTTGTTTTCTTCATCCCAAAGTATTTCTCCAGGAACCACAGCATTAATAAGGACTTCATTCTAACTTCCCAGGTCAGTTTAAACTAACTCAGCATTTTCAAAAACAAAATGTATTTCTACCTGGCTGGCTGTTTTTATTATCCTGAAACTAGCCCAAGGCCCACTGCCCATAAACACAATGATTGTTTCCAGGACACAGAATCAACAGAGATCAAGTGAGGGAATGTTTGCATAAAAATGAAATGATCCTAATGTTTAGCTAGTCTAATAATGCTGAAGCCCTTTAGCATTTTGACTATGGACTTTATCACACCAGCCTGCTATCCCACCATAATCACACTAGTTTAAGAATGGAAATATATTGGCGCTAATTTAAGAATAGAAATATATTGCTTTGGTATAATTTCTTATCACCCTTTCTCCCATGATAGTGCTGTGTTGATCCATGATTACACGACTTGTTTTATGCACAGTCAAATGCTACCTGTATGATTGTGAGTTATCTTGTGAGCTGCCTTTGGTATCTTTCTGGGAGAAAAGTGGAAAACAAACAAACAAACAAACAAATAAATACGGTAAATATGTGCTGCTTCTCCCCTCCTGAAGTACAGCAGCCCTACACCTGGGAGGAGGGATGACGATAAGCAATGCCAGATGCCAACTGACTCTTGAAGCTGGCTTCTGTGCACACAACAGCTGGCTTCAGGAAGGTGTTGGTGAGTGAGATTGCTCCTTGTCCCCCATCCTGAAGTGTGATGCTGCTGTGTGCACATTCACACCAGTCCTGGCTGCCAACTGCCTTCCGAAGCCATCTGCTGTGCAAATGTACATGCATCAGAAGGCTTTGGGATGCTGTTGGTGGCACAATTGTTGTGAGGGAAGGAGAGGGGAGAGGAGCAGAATCACATCCACTCACATCAAGAGATTACATGAGAAGTAGAACTGTAGCAGAAGGCAGTAATTGAATAGCAGCAAGAGTGAGCCTATTGATGGGTTTTCTCATCAATGAAAAGGTGCACAACAGTAACAAATGGAATGCAAGGCAGCAGGATGGACACTACATCATATGACAAGTGTCAGCCAAAGATACTTTTATCCTGTTAAAATTCTGCTTTTTAACTTTATGCGGTAAAGTCCAAAGACTCCTGATTAATAGAAGGTACAGTGAAATTGATGCAAATTAATTTCTGAAATGTTGCCCGAGATTAGATATGACAGGTGATCAGTGAGAGGGGGAGGAAGATGAACACAAGGGAGGCAGAAATGTGGGAAATCCTGGATATTTCAAGAAAGGATTTGGGTGCAAACCTGGGGAGATGCAGGTAAAATCAAAAGAGAAAGAACTGGAAATTCTTGATACTTCCAGCTACTTTCCTCCTTCTGGTGGAGCCCTATGAATAGTCCTTTATTCCAAATCAGACTAGCTTGCTTATTATGGTCTCTTCTGTTTTAAAGCAGCTATCCTTGTTTAATCTGAGGTCCTATTTAGTAACAATGGCAGGGACCGATGCACGGGTTTATGTAGGCAAATACAGTTTAGATATCCAAAGAAAAGAATTTTGTAGAATTTTGTAAAAACCTAACACAAACACTTCACAAGCTTACTAATACACTGTACATGTACAAGGAATCATTTCCATGCAGGTGCACATTGTATGCTGCAGGACTCACATTTGGCATCCTCTGCATGCATGAAAATTCTACATGAATTCTGCTTGCATTTCTGTGCATAAAAAAATCATGTACACCTTTGACAATATTCACTGACATCATGCAGGTGTTCCATGCACATGAAGACATCTCAAGTGGACAGTTTCCTTGCAAGTTTGCAAATAAATAAATAAATCACAGCTGGCTTTAATAACAGATCAAATCATAATAGCATGATTTGTACAATATTCATGTACTTCTTCATCACTGTTAATCAGTTTACACAACAATTTTGCAGTATTCTGCATTCACATTTTAAATAAATTTGCTTTTGGAAGTTAAAAACTTATTTTCTAATTAAATGCATTAATGGGGAGGGAGTTTTCTCATTAGCTATGAGATGTTTTAGCCAGAGAAACCTCTTTTATAATGATTGATGCCAAAACTATTCTGTGCCCCCCCATTTTTGTGTTTGATCTCCCAGTAGAAATTGTCTCACTACACCCTTGTTGTTGTATGCCTTCAGGTCCTTTCTGACCTGTGGTAACCATAAGGTAAGGCTATCACAGGGTTTTCTTGGCAAGATTTGTTCAGAGGGTTTTTTGCCTTTGCTTCCATCTGAGGCTTAGAGAGTTTGATTCACCTAACATTGCCCACTGGGTTTCCATGGATGAGCAGGGATTTGAATCCTAGTCTTCAGAGTCATTGTCCAATGGTCAAACCACTACACCACCCTTTTTTGCATCTTAGGAGGCAGATCAAATCTATGAAAGTTTATGCTACAACTTCTCCTACACAGTTAATCTCAAAGATGCTACAAGATCCTTTTATACGCCACCCTAGTTATGGTATTATTGTTATATGCCTTCAAGTCATTTTGGACTTATGGCGACCCTAAGGCAACCCTATCATGGGGTTTTCATGGCAAGGTTTGTTCAGAGGAGGTTTGCCTTCCCCTGAGGCGGAGAGAATGTGACTTGCCCAAGGTCACCCAGTGGGCTTCATGGCTGAGCTGGAATCGAACCCAGAGCCGTAGTCCAACATTCAAACCACTACACCACACTGGCTCTCTATCCTACCCTTGTTTGGGTATAAATCAACACATGATTCTCAAGCTTTTAATGGTGAAACCAGTGTTCAAATTTCAACAGTCAAATTTGCCAGTTTAGAATAGTGGTGGATTTGTAGGAATTTGGATCCTTTCTATCTTGGCAGCCAGCTTATGACCTCTCCCATGAATCACAGAAATAGCTGCGGGTGGGTCCTCCATTCCAACCAAAGGAGAGGAGAAATAGATGGCCTTGGGTAGGAGTGACTTGAACCTGCCTCCATCAACCATTTGAAATGTGGGAGGTCTAATTCCAGAAAATAAAGACCTGATTTGTAGGCAAAAGATTATCCCACAGGTGAGGGCTCCTACTTTTCTCTCCCCCGTTCTGCCCCTTTGCCACACACACCTTCTCTTTCCTCCTCCTTTAAACATGAAACTGGGAGTGTGGATTTTCCTCCTAAATTATAATGAAAAATGATCAGCACTTGTGGAGGCTTGCAAGAGGATTTGTGTGTGTAACAAAACAATTAGGGGCTGGAGGGAAGAGCCGGTTGCCCAGAGAAGGTGTAATTAGCACTGGGTAAATGTCTAGAGGTTATACGTGGGCTCCATTCAGTTAAATAGATGAAATTGGCGGGCTGATGAATTGCCTTCCAGCTCAAAGGGCCCAGCTGTATCACACCCAGCATAACGCTGCATGCCACCCACTTGAAAGATAGATATATTATGCAGAGTGTGTGCACAAAGGGGTGTGTGTGTGTGTGGAACCAGAGGCCTTGTTTTCATTGCTC